GATGTTTGCACCTTATTTATATATCATAGTTTGCCCTGTTTGTAGGCTTTCTCCTTGATAATTTAGGACCACCTTTGGTGAGAAGGTAAAAGTGTTCCATGCGCCTTTGGCATTTAGTCATGCTGGCCACATGACCATGGAGATGCCTTCAGACAGCACTGGCTCTTTGGCTTTGAAACAGAGATGAGCAATGCCTCCTAGAGTTGGGAACGATTAGCACATATGTGCAAGGGGAACATTTACCTTAACCTTACCATCTTATCACCTTTAAGATTGACTTCTGAAGGGCACTATGAAGCTGAGTTGATATAGAAAGCAATGGTGATGGCACATAAAAACTATACCACCCATTTTGGGGGCCATGCATTAGATTCTTGTAGCCTTCACAGCATAATTCAGAATGCTTGTCTTAATTTATAAAATTGTTCCATCGCCCTAAACATTTGCAGAACTGCTTCTTTCAGAACTGATCCATTGACTTATGTTTGTCCCCAGATAGAATATTGAGAGTTTGTCCACCACTGGAAATTTGGGGTATTCTTGGTATTTTTTTCAGTTTATGCTTGGTTGGTACTGCATTCAGGAAGAAATTTAAAATTGTGCTCTTCTGCAGAATTTTTAATTAAATGGCACTTCTAAAGTTGGTGTGGCTATTTAGTATGGATATTGGGACCTGTTTTGTGATTTTGTTGCAGATATTAATTCCCTTAAGGATTTTACTTTTTGTTTTCTAAGTCATCTTGGGGCTTTAAAAAAAATATTAAAGATTTTTACATTAAGTAAAAGATAAGCATGGAATAATATAGAGTTAAAAACAAAAGAAAGGTAAAAAAAGTAAAGATATACAATTTTACTTCTGCCCTCTCTGTTTAACTTTGCGTAAGAGTTGAGGCACACAAACAACAATCGTGTGTCTGTAAGACAGCACAGTGGTTGTAATTGTGTGCCAGTTGTGAGACGCCCGATGGGGACCATGTGAATACAAGTTGTTGCAGAGGTTGTAATTATGAGGCCTGATTGCAAATCTGTTTTGTTAATATGATTGCAATTTAGAATGATCACTAAATGAGGCAGCCAATAAGTGAGGACTACCTGTTGTGGCCCAGCAGGAGCCGTTGGAGCTGCCACCAGACTCCGACAGCGAGGGGCCCAATGAGTCGGCTCTGGAGGATGTGGAGGACTCTGGACAGGGTTCTGACTCCGAGCAGGGCGCAGAGAGGGTTGGCCAAGAGGAGGCGCCTGAGCCTTGGAGCAGTGGGGAGGAGACAAGGCACTATGATCCTGACGTCATGCATTGGAGCAGTGGGGAGGAGACAACGGAGTTGGTCCTGGATGCCCGGCAATGGAGGGCTAATAAGCGCAAAGAACAGTTGCGCAGTTACAGGAGATAAGTGAACTCAGCTGGTGGTAATTAGGCTTCTCTCAAGACTATAAAAGGAATGGCTTTGCACATGCTTGTTGCAGGAAT